TTAGCACATATATAAATTTGTAGTAGATATATGAAACATGTATTCATTTTTTTTACGCTGTATCTTGCTGTGGGCAGTTCTCCTCTGTTTCAATTATCAGCTTCGTATCCCCCATTGGTTCCTGCTCCATTCCCTCATAGACCATGTGAAAATCCATCACCTGAGGCAGCAAACTCTCAATGCATGCTTTGTATCCTATGATATCTCGTAGTGAATCTGTCCGCCTCTTGCTTGAGTTGTACAGCTTTATCTTCCTTTCTTTCACAAGCAATACTAACAGCACCCAATGTTGTCCCGTATTCAAACAAATGTAGACTCTATCTGCATCTGACCAATGCATTGCAAATCTGGATGCAGTGCCAAGAATGTCGTGCATCACATATCCCTTTTCTGCTGCTTCTGTCACTGTGCTTTGGCCTTGTTTCCATCCGTCTTCGTTGCTTCTACTTCTTCAGTTATACTTGTGACCTGAATCACAGTACAATTATTTCATTTTTACAATTTACATTGCTATTTTCCTTACTTGAATACATGTAATACTCTCTACCTGTTCATTTCCTGCCATTTTCACCTGCTGCTCTTTTTCACCATTGAAGGTCAGCACCTAAATAAATATACAATTTAATATCATTTTGCATAAAGTCATATTATTGTTCTTAATTATAGAATATAATGGCACTTTGTGCTTACCTGAGAACAGTGTGCATCCTGTCGTAGTTTCTCCTGAGTTAAGACACCAAATATTTGAAAAGATGGCCCATCAATTGCACTGCCAACATTCCCTTTATCTGGCATATGCACCTCTACATGATTGTGATCATCTTGTACTTCTTGAACATCCACATCTTCATTAATTGCAGTATCAACATTCACTTGATCTGCCACTTGCACCTCTACATCGCAGTTCCCGTCTTCTACTTCTTCAACCTCCTCAACATTCACTTGCTTTGGTACATTATCACTTGTTTCCTGAATTCTACCATTTGCAGGTTCACATGCAGCACTTGGTAGTACGTTATGTTGATTGCTACCTTCATTACCTATGCCTTCTTCATCGTCTTTTGAGTCATCTTCCTTTTGCTTACCTTCACCTTTTGGGCCCTTCTTCATGAAAATCAGAATCTTGTTCAACAGCGAGTTCTGCTTCTTTTGTTCCTTTTTCATCTCTTTTATGTCATCTATGATTTTGGCAATCTGGTTGTCTTGACCATCTAGCCTTTCCAGTATCTCTCTTGCATGTGTGTCTCTCTCCGTATCACTCTCTTCACTTGCCTCTTCATTGTCATCTGAGTTGGTCTCCACCTTTTTATTTTTTTGATGCAACACCCTTTCTCTTTTTATTTTTCATTTGGGTAACACTCTGTCTGGTTCTTCGTTTGTCCTTCTTTGCCTTGGCTCTCTCCTTAGCTTTTTTTAATGTCATTTCAGCCTCATTTGGATCCACTTCTTCTCCATCAATTCTATGCCATTGTCTACTAGATATAAGTTCATCATTGCCATATACTTCAGCAAGACCTTGTATTGTCTGAATTTCCTCCTCAGTAGCAGTCATGTTGTTCCACTTAAACTGCAACCATTGCCAAAATAACTTGTTAGAATAATTACTCTGCAGTTATAATATATATCTATATATATGTGTGTGTGTGTGTGTGTGTGTATTCAATTTATATTAATTTCAAATGCTTACCTTGGGATTGCTGAATATAAGTTCACAGAATTTTTCCATGGAAGGCTTCTTTTCAAAACCCCATTTCAGTGTCCTTGGTATGGCATTTTCTCTCCCCTCAATAACCCTACACAGTCCTTCTCGAGTTAAGCTTTGAAATGTCTCAAAACACCATATTTGAATGGCATGTAGACAACCATTGAAAGCAACTCTTGGACCTTTACAATTCTTCAATGCCTGTGCACAAACACTCATATTCAACACTAAGTGTTGAATGCTTCTATATCATCTACCAAGTTGATATATTTTTCTTCCAATGGCTTTGTGTACTGGTTTCCCAACAGCCCATGTGCTAGCACATACAGGAGCCCTAACTTCACTCCATCCTTTCTTTCTTTGCTTTTAGTTGTTGTTTTGTAAGCTTCCAATGCATGCAAAACATCTTGTCTTAACACCATTTCTTTATTTGGAAAGTATCTTTTCCACAACTTCCCTTGCATGTCATTGGCCATCACTGGTTTAATGCCACTCATTTTTAAACCTGTCACCATTGCCATATCTACCTTTGTAAAAGTGATAACACTTCTGCCTATATTGAATCCGATGGCATCTTTCTCTTTCTGGCCATTGAACTCTTCAATTTAGCTTGCTAGCAGTGTTATACTTAGCTGTCCACTTAGCCTTGGCATGCTATTGATGTCAAGTATCCATCCAAATACAGTCCCTCTAAACTCTGTCACTTCATCTTCTTTCAAATTATCTTTTATGCGCTTTGCCACCTCACTCAAATTGCACTATCCATTTACCCTAAGATTCTCTGTTAACTCTCCCAAGAGTCCTACTTCACAAGTTCTAACAAGATGCTGCAAAATAACAGTTATTTATGTTAGTATTGCCATTCTAGTATCACTATTGTATTTGGAATGAAACAATATACAATTGTAAATACTTGGCACTTTAACTTGAAAATGTATTGTATATTGATCTTTTGCAGTATTTTGTAAAATACATAACTAAAATTCATATAATACCACATTTGGTTTCATATTTTACATTTTGGGTCTATGTTATGAAAGATATCATACCATTCCAATGTACCATGTAAATTGGCACTATATTAGTAATTCCAATGTACCATGTCACATTAAATTCATGGCACTGAAATTGACACTGACTTAAAAACTTTACAATGTTGTCTATTATTTTGGTACTGACTTAAAAACTTTATACACTGTCATTTGTTTTTCAAAATTATGTATTTTGGCACTAAGATATGAAATTTAAGCTATCATGCCACATATCTGTATTCAGTTTGTCCTAGTTTGGCATATCTATATTTTGCCACTACATTACTAATTTCAATAATTCATGACAATATTACTTTGAAGCATTACACATGTCTACATATTTCACTGCATTATGCAATACACTATTTCATCATATTCACATTTTTGAATTACAGTCTCAAGGTGTAATAAAATTTGAACTGCAATCATAATGGCATTACTAATTTCACAAACTACAAGTTCACACAATCATCTTTTTGGCATTACATGTGTAATAAAATTTGAACTGCAATCACTAATGGCACTACGAATTTCAGAAATTATAAGTTTACAAATAATTTCAGCACTACATTATTATATATATCATATAATTTCAGATTCAATTAATCATATCATTTTCAATCATTCATAGCTATATAAGATTACAGATGTCCATATACTTGACCAGATTCAGCAATACAGTATGTCAAAATGTTCAAATCTTGGCATTACACATTTAATTTTTCATAAAATTTGAAATTCAATCATTAATGGCACTATTAATTTCATAGATTACACAGAACACACAACTACTGTTCAGTGTTACATTTTGGAATGATTACATACATAATGCCCTAATTACAGTTATTAGATGAAATTTGTCTTTTAAGATGGAATTAACATCAAATTAAATGTATACATTCGAACATTTGAACATCTACAAACTGTTTCTTCATTATCATCTTCGTTTTAATAAAAACAAACTGTATACGTGCTTGTTTCGATCTAAGTTTCTTATTTCACATTGTCATCTTCGTATATTTGACATTAATTGTGTTTATATGCACATGCATTTTGGCATTCATATTCAGATGACATTTTAACATGTATTCATCACTTCAAAAGTTGAATAACGTACCACACTCTCATTGATTTGAACTCGTTGCCCTGTCTTCGAAGTTCCATCTTCGGCGACTTTTTCAGCAACTTTTCCAGCATCCTCAAAGTCGGAATCTGACATTCTCTACTTCCTTTCGCCAACTGCAACACAAGTTCGAACAAAGTGCTCCTCTCCGATTTCTCTTCTTTTGTGTTCGTCGCTCGTTTTTTTGCATAGCTAAGCATTAATGGAGGGAATCTGAAGTTCTTCGGTTAGCGCGATTGTGTGCGCATTAAAAGTGGTTTGGTTTCGGGCTGAGGAGGTAACCGTTTTTTTGGAAACTTGAACAACGGAATGGGCTTGCACGCGTGAAGCTTCATTAAGGTTATTTTGGTCAATTTAAGTCCTTTTTACTCTTATACGTGACATAGGAAACTTGGACTCTTGTTTTTGCACAAGTGCATTATTTTACTCCTATTGGGGTAATTTTCCCTATTATATACTACCTCCGTTCCTGAAAATACTTCCCGATTTGACTTGGCATGCTTATTAAGAAAGTGGAATAAAGTGAAAATGTATGATTGTAGTTGTGTAAGAAAAAAGGTAAAATGAATGTGAATCACACAAATTGCCCAAAAAGGAAAAGTGAGAAGTATTTTGGGAACGACCCAAAAAGGAAAGTGTGAAGTATTTTCTAGATCCTCACATTATCTAAACTCTAGCTTTGAGAGAAAGCTAGAGTTTAGATAGATTCTATGGTATCCAAAATGTATCATACCTTTGTTCAAGTCAGGGGCGGATATACATTGAGTTCAATGGGGGCACTTGCCCCCAATAAGAATCTGAATTTTAATGCTAATAACCTATTGTTTAATATGGAAAAGAAAAAGTGCCCCCAATTAAAAAATGAAAGTGCCCCCAATTATACAAACTCTTCATAATTTATAAAATACAAACTCATAGTATTGGACTGCACAATTTGCTGCAAAGTACAATAGTATAATATTAGCGACATGTAATAGGTTATAAGCAATACACTTACTCATAAATTGATACTCAAATCCTAATCAACTGGAACTATGTATTTAACTTTTTCGTATGAAACACTTTAAACATTAATATGAAACTATGTATTTCATGGCATTATAATATCCAATAAAAATAGCATATAAAAATATAAAATAGCATATAGATGCATTGCACAAAGTTAGAACAATAAGCACAGTACTAGTACTAGGTTCATCCCCTAAATATAAATAGTTAAATATTGGAGTACATAAGAGTAGAGTTTTGGAAGTTGAATAGTGGTTTCTTTAATTTATTATGTTGCCACACGTCATTTTTCATACAAAGGATGTTGATACATGCTAACGGATTGGGATCCTCTGCCTTAAGGCAGAGGTGCCTTACTCAAATGGACGGCACAGATCGAAAAGTAGGTCTCGAGATTCGTGCAAAAAATGGAGCCCTTCATCTTCAACCCTTCATTTTTTGATCTAATGGATGAAAACAGCCAGGCACCCTCCTTGGCTGCTTAACCAAGGCAGAGACGCCGGATCCCATGCCAACAATTCCTCTAAAGGATTTTTTAGGCGTTTGCTTTATAATATTATTATATAGATAGATATAGATATGCAATTCTCAAATCCTGATCAGCTGGAGGCGCAGGACGTTTTCCTCTTCCGTGTGCCTTTCACTTCATCATCGTACCTTCTCCCAAGTTTAGTTTACGATGGATATCTTCCTCCACTGCCTCAGTGGCTTGTTTATCCAGATACCTTCCCACCCTTCTCAAATGTTCTTGCACTGCCTTGGCAAGTTCACCATCATCCCAATCCGCATATTCATCAAGCTCTCCACAATAGACGCCCTGTTATTCCCACAAGAGGTTAATAAGAATGCCATATCGTTAGATGCCAAAGAACACACAAGATTTGATCTGCATAGAGTAGTAATCTCTAACAATAACGAATATTCCAACTGCACCAAATATCTTGCTCCAAAAGAATGTCTTTCGGGCATAGATAACCATATTAAAATTTACATTCATCAATAAATAAACTCCATTTAGTACCTCGAACAATATCCCACATTGTCACACTGAAACAGTTGAAACTCATCCTGACCAAAACCAGTTTTTATGTGTATGCCAGAAGTAATACATTAATGCAAGAAACCAAACATTATTAGCACTTAAAAGTTATGTCATTCCCAAATAAAACTAATATACGAGCATCAAACTGAAAAAACCAAAACCAGTTTTTATGTGTATGCCAGAAGTAATAATACATTTATACAACAAACAAAACATTATTAGCACTTCAAAGTTAAGTCATTCCCAAATAAACTAACATACGCACACATCAAGTTCATCAAATATAAGAGTGATGATGAAGAGGGAAGAAAAACCTGTCTTATTAAATGAAAGTCACCCAAAAATGGTTTGCACCTTCCTTCCCACGCATTCCACCCATTTGTGACCGCTTCTTTGCGTAGCAACTGATTCTGTATAAAATAATTCACCAACAATGGGTAAGTTTAAGGTTAGAAAAATGGCAATGATATCAAATTCAACACGGTAACCAATAAAGCTATATTCAACTGATTCTATATAAAATATTTCACTCACAATGGGTGAGTTTAAGATTAGAAAAATGGCAATGATATCAAATTCAACAAGGTAGCCAAAAGGTATTTAAAGAGATCCATAACCAAAAGCTTCATGTGTTATGATCAATCATCAGGATCTACTTTTATAACAGCCAACATGTTCACTTTAAAGTGGACCCAATCAGAAACACTCCCTAATTCAGCGTTAGAGCCCATCCTAAACCCAACAAAGATCCGCCCATGCAATAAAGTCGTCTTCAAGTATTGCTTGTGCAACAAGTAAAATCATTACTTTGCAATTATGAGTTTATTGAAATCATATTAACAAAATCATATACTTCCCCCGTTCTTTTTTAGTTGCAACATTTACATATTCACGTTTTCCATTGCACAACTTTGACTATTATTACATTTAATTCTGTATTTGTAAAAAATAATAAAAAATCAGATTATGAAACTTAGTAATGAGGCGAATTCAACAATTTTTTTCAAAAAATAATAATTCACACATAATAACAAATAAAATGTAGTCAAAGTAGAGTACATGAATAGTATATAAATTCTAATGTTGCAACTAATGTGATACTGAGGATAGTACAAGACTAGAAAGTAATATTATTACTTTGCAATGTTAACCTCAAATAAGATATCACCATATTAAAGGTTAACATTCATCAATAAATAAACAACACGTAGTACCTCGAACAAAATCCCACATTGTCACACTGGAACAATTAAAACTCATCACGACCCATGCGTATGGGTAGTAAAAATATGAGCATCAGACTAAAAAACCCAAAACCAGTTTTTATGTGTTTACCAGAAGTTAGACACATAATACAAGAACCAAAACATTATCAGCAGTTAAAAGTTAAGCCATTCCCACATAAACTAATATACACACATTAAGTTCATCAAAGATAAGAGTGATGATTAAGAGAGAAGAAAAACCTGATGATAGCTTTTTAAATAACAGTCATCAACACATGGTTTGCACTTTCCTTCCCACGCATTCCACACATTTGTGACAGCTTCTTTGTTTTCCACACTTCCCAAGCCTTCTTCAACTTCAGTGTTTTCATCAGTTGAGAACATGTCTGGTAGCAACTGATTCTATATAAAATATTTCGCTCACAATGGGTGAGTTTAAGATTAGAAAAATGGCAATGATATCAAATTCAACAAGGTAGCCAAAAGGTATTTAAAGAGATCCATAACCAAAAGCTTCATGTGTTATGATCAACCATCAGGATCTACTTTTATAACAGCCAACATGTTCACTTTAAAAAACAAGAAAACAAAACATTAACCAAGGGCCGCAAAGGCTCCACCTATTATGATGCAATAATCCGATATGTGTATGCAATTGATTCCCACGTAGAGATGTCAATTGTGACCGATCCAATGGATACCCGAACCGAACCGCCCCGGTCAAAACGGGAAAAACCGCATTGACCGGGTAACGGGTATGGGGCGGGGAATACCCGTTTTGTTTTTACGGGTAACGGGGCTGTTGAAGATGGAGTCTTGTTCAGAATTTCAGAACTGATACCCGACCGGGTCAGATGAAGGACCCGACCGGGTATGATGAACCAGAGACCTGGGAACTCACTAGAATGTGAGACCCGACCGGGTCAGGTGAAGGACCCGACCGGGTCAGATGTTCGGTGACTTTCTGTTTTGGAAACCCGACCGGGTCAGGAGACGGACCCGACCGGGTCAGAGAAGTTTTCACCTTCTGCTTTGGATACCCGCCCTGGTATCAGCCCGGGTTGAATTTCTGTGAAGAGACCCGACCGGGTCAAAAGTCGGACCCGACCGGGTCTACGGGAAATTTAATTACGGGCTTGTTTTTTTAATTAGGGCCTGCGGCTCTAATCTCTGTTTAGGTTTCCTTAAACCTATTTAAACGACTCTTATGTACTTGTAAACCTCTTGGGGACGCTGATAATAATACATCCTCTCTCTCGTTCGCCGTGGACTAGCGTAATCACCCCGATTGCGTGAACCACGTTAATTCTTGTGTTTTTGCTCTTAATTTATCGTTTATCTTTGCCTAATCGTAACAATTGGTATCAGAGCTATGGCTGACGAAGGGAAGGTTAAGATCGATAAATTTGATGGTCAAGATTTTGCTTTCTGGAAGATGCAGATCGAGGATTATCTCTACCAGAAGAAGCTTCATCAACCGTTGTCTGAGAACAAACCAGAAACGATGACGGAAGCGGAATGGAATTTGTTGGATCGACAGGCTCTTGGTGTGGTGAGGTTGTCGTTGGCGAAGAACGTTGCCTACAACATCGTCAACGAGAAGACAACGTTTGGACTGCTCAAGGCGTTATCCAACATGTATGAGAAACCCTCAGCGGCAAACAAGGTTTTCTTGATTAGACAGTTGGTGAATACAAGAATGAAGGAAGGTGCATCTGTGGCAGATCACATCAACGAGTTTAATTCAATCATATCCAGGTTAGGCTCGGTTGAGATTAAATTCGATGATGAAGTCCAAGCATTACTTTTGTTATCATCTTTGCCCGATAGTTGGTCCGGTACAGTCACAGCGGTTAGTAGTTCATCTGGAACCACTAAGCTTACCTTTGAAGGTATTCGTGACTTAATCCTTGGTGAGGATATCCGGAGGAGGAGTTCGGGGGATAGCTCCAACAGTTTGTTGAGTACTGAAGATAGGGGCAGAAAATCCACTAGAGGGGGTAACAAGAAGGGAAGATCGAAGTCGAGAAAGAGAGGGCAATCCAAGAACCGAAAGGACATCAATTGTTGGAATTGCAAAGAGAATGGACACTTCAGAAATCAGTGCCCAAAACCCCCTGCAGACAAAGGCAAGAAGGAGGTGAACGTGGCAGAGGATTATGAAGATGTTCTAATTTGCAGCGTTGAGAATTCAGTTGAGTCCTGGATCATGGATTCAGGTGCGTCGTTTCATGCTTGTCATTGCAGGGATTTGATGAAAAATTTCAGGCCCTACAACGGAAGAGTTCGTTTGGCGGATGACAAATCTCTGGAGATCACGGGTATTGGGGATGTTGATCTCAGTACCACTTTGGGTACAACCTGGAGGCTGAAAGATGTGAGGTATATTCCAGACCTGAAGAAGATGTTGATCTCAGTTGGACAGCTTGATGAGGAAGGCCATAACGTTAGTTTTGGCAACAAGCAATGGAAGGTGACAAAGGGAAAGCTGGTCATTGCTCGTGGGCAGAAGCATGGTACATTGTACATGGTTGAAGTGTCCACAGATGGGGCAAACGCAGCAGTTGAAGATACAGGGGTCTCTACTTTGTGGCACCAAAGACTTGGGCACATAAGTGAGAACGGAATGAAGATGCTGTCTTCAAAGGGCAAAATCCCAGATTTGAAGAATTCAAAGTTGAGCTTTTGTGAGCCATGTGTTCTAGGCAAACAAAAGAGGGTAACCTTTGTGAAGACAGGGCAGCAACCCAAGACTGAGCGGCTGGAGTTGATTCATTCAGATGTCTACGGACCTACAAAGGTCTCTTCAATTGGAGGTTCCCGCTACTATGTTACATTCATTGATGACTCTACACGGAAGGTATGGGTTTATTTTCTTAAAAATAAATCCGATGTCTTTAACACTTTTAAGAAGTTCAAAGCTGCTATTGAGAATGAAACAAATCTTAAGATTAAGTGTTTAAAGAGTGATAATGGGGGTGAGTACAGTAGCACAGAGTTTGTAGAGTATTGTGCTGAACAGGGGATCAGAATGCTGAAGACAGTTCCAGAAACACCACAGCAAAATGGTGTTGCAGAGAGGATGAACAGAACACTGAATGAGAGGGCCAGGAGCATGAGATTGCATGCAGGACTTCCAAAGATGTTCTGGGCCGATGCGGTGAACACAGCAGCATACTTGATCAACAGAGGACCCTCATCTCCCATAGGTTTCAAAATTCCAGAAGAGGAATGGAAAGATCGAGAGGTATCTCTTACTCACTTGAAAGTTTTTGGTTGTATTTCTTATGTCAAAGTTAGAGATGCAGATAGTGACAAGCTCGAGGCAAAGGCAAAGAAGTGTATCTTTATTGGGTACGGGATGGATGACATGGGCTACAGGTTCTGGGACAACCACAGCAAGAAGGTTATCAGAAGTAGAGATGTCACTTTCAACGAGAATGCCCTGTATAAAGATGGTCTTGCAGCAGAAACTAGCAAAGCCAAGCAACCAGAAAACAAGCAACAAGTGGTGTTTGACGGGATGACTGAAGATGACATAGCACATCCTGTTGGTTGTGATGAGACAACAGGAGGTTCAGGGAGCAGTGGGAGCTCAGGAGATACAGGAATGTCTGAAGATAGTGGGAGTGATGAAGATGGTGAAAATTCAGAGGCAGCTACTCCTCAAGTCAGACAGTCCACCAGAATCAGAAGACCTCCTAACAGATATTCTCCTTCAGCAAATTATCTGTTGCTGACCGAGAATGGAGAGCCAGAATCTTACTCAGAGGCGCTGACCATGAAAGATTCCATACAGTGGAAGAAGGCCATGGAGGATGAGTTAGATTCACTTGACAAGAACCAAACTTGGTCCTTAGTCAAGCTACCACCGGGAAAGAAAGCTCTGGAGAACAAGTGGGTGTTCAGAATCAAAGATGAAGCAGATTGAAGCAAAAGATACAAGGCAAGGTTAGTTGTCAAAGGGTTCCAACAGAAGAAGGGAGTTGATTACAATGAAATCTTCTCTCCGGTTGTGAAGATGACTACTATCAGGTTGATTCTTGGTATCGTTGCTGCTGAAAATTTGCACTTAGAGCAGCTGGATGTAAAGACTGCTTTTCTTCATGGCAGCCTTGAAGAAGACATTTACATGGCTCAACCGGTAGGTTTCTCAGTGTGTGGTAAGGAGAAGTTGGTGTGCAAACTCAAGAAAAGTCTATACGGACTGAAGCAAGCTCCTAGACAGTGGTACTTGAAGTTTGACAGTTTTATGCAGCGGAATGGGTACACTAGATGCAAGATGGACCATTGCTGTTACTTGAAGAAATTCGAGTCTTCATACATTATTCTTCTTTTGTATGTTGATGACATGTTGGTGGCTGGAGCAAACATGCAGGAGATCAACAAGCTCAAGAAGAAGTTGTCTGAAGAATTTGAGATGAAGGATTTAGGGGAGGCGAGACAGATTCTTGGGATGAGCATAGTCAGAGACAAGGTGGAAGGTACTTTAAAGCTTTCACAGCAGAAGTACATTCAGAAGGTCCTTGAGAAGTTCAGAATGACGGATGCCAAGCCAAGGAGCACACCGTTAGGGAGTCAGTTGAAACTCTCCAAGCAGCAGTCTCCGAAGACCGATGAAGACAAAGATGAGATGGCTAAAGTTCCTTATGCATCAGCAGTTGGCAGTTTGATGTATGCAATGGTGTCAACAAGGCCAGACATTGCTCATGCAGTGGGAGTTGTTAGCAGGTTTATGTCAAATCCAGGGAAGGAACATTGGGAAGGAGTCAAGTGGCTGCTACGCTACTTGAAAGGCACCTCTAGAACTGCTCTTTGTTTCAGGAGGAATGGGGCAATTCTAGAAGGTTTTGCAGATGCTGATTTGGGGGGCTGTCATGATTCCGGGAAGAGCACTACGGGTTACATATTCACTATTGGAGGTACGACAATCAGTTGGATGTCCAGATTACAGAAGAGTGTAGCTCTTTCAACCACAGAAGCAGAGTATATGGCTATTGCTGAAGCGGCCAAGGAGATGATTTGGTTGAAGAACTTTCTTTCGGAGTTGGGCATGGAACAGGGGGATTGTGGTCTGTACTGTGACAACCAGAGTGCTATTCATCTCGCGAAGAATCCGGTGTTTCACAGCAGAACGAAACACATCAAGATGAGGTATCATTTCATTCGAGAATTGATTGAAGATGGTACTATAAATTTGAAGAAGATCCTTGGTACGAAGAATCCAGCAGACATGCTTACCAAGGCGGTGACAACGGAGAAGTTGAAGCTATGCATGGCTTCAACGGGCCTTCCAAATACTTGATGAGAAGGTGTGGACGAGAGAGAGAGAGAGATCAGGGGTTTTACAGAAGATACATGTTCTTGGATGGCAGATGATTGTTGACCAAGCCTCCAAGTGGGAGATTGTTGAAGATGGAGTCTTGTTCAGAATTTCAGAACTGATACCCGACCGGGTCAGATGAAGGACCCGACCGGGTATGATGAACCAGAGACCTGGGAACTCACTAGAATGTGAGACCCGACCGGGTCAGGTGAAGGACCTGACCGGGTCAGATGTTCGGTGACTTTCTGTTTTGGAAACCCGACCGGGTCAGGAGACGGACCCGACCGGGTCAGAGAAGTTTTCACCTTCTGCTTTGGATACCCGCCCTGGTATCAGCCCGGGTTGAATTTCTGTGAAGAGACCCGACCGGGTCAAAAGTCGGACCCGACCGGGTCTACGGGAAATTTAATTACGGGCTTGTTTTTTAATTAGGGCCTGCGGCTCTAATCTCTGTTTAGGTTTCCTTAAACCTATTTAAACGACTCTTATGTACTTGTAAACCTCTTGGGGACGCTGATAATAATACATCCTCTCTCTCGTTCGCCGTGGACTAGCGTAATCACCCCGATTGCGTGAACCACGTTAATTCTTGTGTTTTTGCTCTTAATTTATCGTTTATCTTTGCCTAATCGTAACAGGGGCGGTTACGGTTTTATACATCCCTGCCCCATTACCCGCCCCGTACCCGCCCCGTTTATTTTAGTTATATTTTTATTACATTTTTATCTATTATTTGTCCCATAAGTAAATGAATATGAGATTTTTTCTATTTTCATTAAGTATATGGATAATAGATGTACTAACTATAATGTTCAATGAGAGTTCATAATAGATCTTAATAATCTTGTTTGATTATTATCAGATTTTTTAGTGAATAATTATTTTTCAGATTAAGTATTTTTAGGTTCAAATTAATTTATGTTGTCTTCTTTCTCGTCTTGTAGATATACAAAACTTTAAAGTGGCGTCTCAGTCTAGAGTCATCTAGGTGATGCCATTTTTTGCCTTTTAAAATATTATTTTTATATTAAAATATCAATCACTCATTTAATAAAGCGATTACCCGCGGTTACCCGATGGAATTCTTTTTCTTCCTCAGGCTAAACGGAGGTTGCCCATATAGTATTTCTGCCATTTGCTTAGTGGCAGGTCGTTTACACCTAATAAGTTTATCAGTCTGGGCATGGATGTTCTTGTTTGGGAATTCCAGCAGCGGTTCAAAATAAAAATAAAAAAGTTTGAGTTGTTTATTTCTTGAATAGACTGAACTATGCTGATGAGAGTATACCCAAAAGGAATAGCTAAGATGAAACTAATTGCTGGAATGAGGTTAACGGTGACACTAGCAAAAGTCGGTGAGGTTAGGATGACCAATTAATTAACTTTTACCAGCCTTACTGTTAGAATGACCAAGGGTTATTGGACATTTGGATGGTTAAACACTCACCACTCACTTTTTCCATCTTCTATAGCATCCAGTATGCATCTACAATTAGTTTTAATGATGTAGGAAATCTTAAGGTAATTAAGGAGTTTTACATAAAAAACATATCAATTGGATATCTGTAACACCCCGGCCCCGCAGGATCCGAGGTAGCTACTGCGGATCAATAGTATTGTCCTCACAAACCACCACGAGCCTTTACCGCGCACTTTGTCCTCACTCATGCGCGCCCTGAGAAACTTCCCAAGGGGGTCACCCATCCTACGACTACTCCCGTGCAAGCACGCTTAACTTTGGAGTTCTTAGCGGATGAGCTCCCGTAAAAGGAGACGCACCTCTGTTGGTATGAGTAGTACTATTAATCCTCTTATATTAATCTTGGGTATTACAATCACCCCCACTTAGGATCGCAACGTCCTCGTTGCACCCTTAAACCAATCTCAAATCTCAATCCAATCCCAGAATCTTTTCCCCTGCTAAGTGTCTGCCCGATATCCAACGGATCAGCACACTGTCGCAGGGTTGCTCCCCCGCAGGATCCGAGGTAGCTACTGCGGATCAATAGTACTGTCCTCACAAACCACCACGAGCCTTTACCGCGCACTTTGTCCTCACTCATGCGCGTCCTGAGAAACTTCTCAGGGGGGTCACCCATCCTACGATTACTCCCGTGCAAGCACGCTTAACTTTGGAGTTCTTAGCGGATGAGCTCCCATAAAAGGAGATGCACCTTTGTTGGTATGAGTAGTACTATTAATCCTCTTATATTAATCTTGGGTATTACAATATCCAAAGTGTTCTTAAGGAAATCAAAATATTCTATATTTTATTCTCCTATTGCATTGCATTCTTTTAATGTCTTACAATTAGCAGAGCTAATAACCTAGAACCGTGGTTGATTATAAGATCTAGCTTATACCACTTTGGTGTGATGTCTAGAATATAGAATGCTAGCCGTTATTTAAAATACTCGAAACATATTCAATGTCTTTTATGTATACTTCTTTTATGGACCAGTCATGCACACTTCATTTCATATATGTGTATGTGTGTGTCAAGTGTAATATATAATAGTGATTGGTTTGTTCACTATTATAACAGTGCTAACTGTTATAAAATTAAGAGTGTTAACTGTATAAAATTACTCTTGTGGAAACTATTTCATATATGCACACTATTTCATATATGTAGTAAATATTTATGCTTCATTTAAATTAAGAGTGCTAACTGTATAAAATACTCTTATGGACACTAACTCTATATAAAATTGCTGCACTCAATTCCTCTGGTGATAATGTTGGTTTACACCTCATTAGGAGTTCAATAAGGCTTAGGTTTGCATATGATATGCTTAACTGTACTCATTACAAGTTGACGGATTCTATAGGATTAGTTACTTCTATACCTTTTTGGTAGATCGTTATTTCTATACTTCGTAAAGGCCTAGACAATTACCCGCCCAGTTTGCTAAGTGACATCAGATTTTTTTTAATATTTTATGTGATAGTCAGAATTTTTTTACCAAGATTGCAAGTACTAAATGAGTACATTTTTAAGTTTAATATATAGATACGGGAAGAGTTTCAGTTTCATGTATTTTGAACCTGTTTCCTTGCTTTATCTCCATACACAGTCATTACTTTCTTCTCTTGAAAGGTAAGCTAACTAAACTTAAAATGTAATGGTATGTGATTGCAGCTTTCATAGATATGCCAAAGCTTTTGAATAGGCCTTTGCTAGAACTGTTATTTGTCGGGTTTCGGATTTTTCAAGAAGCGTCGTTACCCGCCAAATGATCTTGACTGCATTACTACACTTTGAAGGTGATCTCTGCAATGCAGTTAGGAGAGGCAAAACTGAAGAACGTCTTCCTCCAAATATGTTTAAAGCTGCCTTCTTCTCTTCTTCAGCCACACACTCACATTGGTTTGCCTGCACCTGCTATTCAGATTAATTTTGTTTTCACTTTTAAAGCTTATTTTACACTTGCAAGTTCTATGCACTTTCTGGTGTTTATTTGATACTACACTATGTTTCTTCTTCTTGTTTTAAACTATTTTTTGCCCATTTTTTGCTTGTGTTTCCTTACATTGGGCACGAATATCGCGCAACGCGCATTCCCGCGCTAGTGTTAAAATAGATGCAACATCAAATTGATCAATTTTTGTGATAGAAATCCCTCCTCATGTCCCGATTTGGGAATTTTCCACATTTCACCCTTTAAGTATTATGGAAAAATAACTCTCCTAACAGAGTGAGAAATAGAATAATAAAAATTGAAAAGAAATAAAAACAAAAGGGTAGTAAAAGCAATAAAAAGTGTTTATAGATGAAAATAAATAAAGAAAATTTTTTGGGAGAAAAAAGAAAAAAGGAACATGTGACCGTTTTGAGCAGATTTGTGAAATGTTAGATTATTTATATAAGATTTTCAAAGAAAGGATAATAATCCATGTATAGTAGGTCATCAACAGATCAGGGTCCAATGAAATCAAATGGGGAGCAAATGTGAGATTATTCTGCAATCCCACGTAAAGATGTGATTATTATGAGAAACTCGGTGAAAGATAGGATAATTTTTGTCAGTTTTTCCTTTTTTTGATTAGGAGTGGTTGCTTGTAACTCTAGTTCGAGGGTCAGTGGTTGGAACTTGGAACTTTGGAAGTGATCCTTTTATCTTCTTATTCCCTTGCCGAATACTCTTATATCAATTTAAGCCGCCTTGTTAAAAAAAATTAATAATCGTTGTTTACAAATATTTACTCAAAAGATATAATTAAACCGTTATTCTTTACTAGTATTTTTGTAAAATACGGAGTACCATTTAATAGATGACAATTTTTGGGAAAAGAAATAGACTAATATAATTATCTTAAGAGAGACTAAACATTGTTTTTTTTTAGTATTTTCATTTTAGACGGTGAGCATAAGTTTACCTACTTTTATACAAAACATTATGAAAAATATTTACACATAAAAATATTGATAAGGGATCATATACAAACTCCTCATAATTTATAAAATACAAACTCATAGTATTGGACTGCAAAATTTGCTGCAAAGTACGATAGGATAATATTAACGACGTGTAATAGGTTATAAGCAATACATTTACTCATAACTTGATACTCAAATCCTAATCAACTGGAGGCGCAGGGAACGCAGAATGGCATTTTGGTAATAAAACTTAACTTTTTCGGATGAAACACTTTAAACATTAATATGCAACTATGTATTTCATGGCATTATAATATCCAATAAAAATAGCATATAAAAATAGCATAAAGATGCACTGCACAAAGTTAGTACAATAAGCAAACTAGGTTCATCCCCTAAATATAAATAGTTAAATATTGGAGTACATAAGAGTAGAGTTTTGGAAGTTGAATAGTGGTTTCTTTAATTTATCATGTTGCCACACGTCATTTTTCATACAAAGGATGTTGCTACATACCAACAATTCCTCTGAAGGATTCTTTAGGCGTTTGCTTTATAATATTATATAGATAGATAGATATGCAATTCTCAAATCCTGATCAGCTGGAGGCGCAGGACGTTTTCCTCTTCCGTGTGCCTTTCACTTCATCATCGTACCTTCTCCCAAGTTTAGTTTACGACGGATATCTTCTACCACTGCCTCAGTACCTTGTTTATCCATACGCCTTCCCAGCCTTCTCAAATGTTCTTGCACTGCCTTGGCACATTCGCCATCATCCCAATTCCCATATTCATCAAGCTCTCCAAAATAGACGCCCTGTTATTCCCACAAGAGGTTTAATAAGAATTTCCCAACTGCACCAAATATCTTGCTCCAAAAGAATGTCTTTCGGGCATAGATAATAACCATATTAAAATTTACATTCATCAATAAATTGACTCCATTTAGTACCTCGAACAATATCCCACATTGTCACACTCAAACAGTTAAAACTCATCCTGACCAAAACCAGTTTTTTTGTGTATGCCAGAAGTAATACATTAATGCAAGAAACCAAACATTATTAGCACTTAAAAGTTAAGTCATTCCCAAATAAAACTAATATACGAGCATCACAAAAACCAAAACCAGTTTTTATGTGTATGCCAGAAGTAATAATACATTTATACAAGAAACAAAACATTATTAGCACTTCAAAGTTAAGTCATTCCCAAATAAACTAACATACGCACACATCAAGTTCATCAAATATAAGAGCACACATCAAGTTCATCAAATATAAGAGTGTTGATGAAGAGGGAAGAAAAACCTGTCTTATTAAATGAAAGTCACCCAAAAATGGTTTGAACCTTCCTTCCCACGCATTCCACCCATTTGTGACAGCTTCTTTGCGTAGCAACTGATTCTTTATAAAATAATTCACCAACAATGGGTAAGTTTAAGGTTAGAAAAATGGCGATATCAAATTGGGAAAACTGACAAATAGGTCCTCGAACTTTAAAAAAAAGTCAATTTAGTTTTTATTTAGGAGGCTCTGTCCGGCCGTCGCTATTTGGGCCGGTTCCCGGTGCAATTTTTTGATGAATTTTTTTGAGCATCTTATTCGTCAAGTCTAGTTTACTCATACCAAATTTCAGCTAAAACTTCCATCGGGAATGCATTTAAATCAATTCTTAAAAATAACTGTGCAGTTAAATGAGCAGTTATCTTCCAGAATTAATTTGAATGCATACCCGATTGAAATTTTACCTAGAATTTGGTATGAGTAAACTAGACTAGATGAATACGATGCTCAAAAAATTTCATCAAAAAATTCCACCGGGAACCGCCCCAAATCGCGACAGCCGGACAGAACCTCCTAAATAAGGCCTTTTTTTAAAAACTCCTAAATAAGGACATAATTAACTTTTTTATCAAAGTTGGAGGACCTATTTGATTGTTTTCCCTATCAAATTCAGCATGGTAATCAAAAGGTATTTGATGAGATGTAAGTTTAAGGTTAGAAAAGTGGCAATGATATCAAATTCAACATGGTAACCAAAAGGTATTTAATGAGATCCATAACCAAAAGCTTCATGCGTTATGATCAATCATCAGGATCTGCTCTTATAACTATCAACATGTTCACTTTCAAAATATAACACGCAAACAAAACATTAACCAAGTGCGGCAAAGGCTCTACCTATTATGATGCAATCATCCGATATATGTACGCAATCGATTCCCACGCGGTAGAAAATAAAAAGAGGGATCAATCTCAGGGGTCTCTTAAGTTTTACAGATTCAGCAATGCTTGCTCACATGAAAGGTTAAGTTGCGATGCATAGCGTGATGAATAAAATCACAATAAAGCAGGTGCCGATCCAGGAAGGAGTAGTGTGGTGGGCTAAGTTGTAAAACTTTTGTTAGTCCACATGAAAGTATGAAAGGTTTAGCTTAGCTTAGCATTGGTTATCAACCTGAGCCTTTTTCAAAAGTACTTGAGTTCAAGCATGATTTCAAATGTAAATTAACGACCCGAGCTTGACCAGCCTCAAACTCGACCATGGGCTAGATTTTGACTTTGAATAATTATTCAAGCCAAGTTCAAGCATAGAGATGTTCGGTGCAATCCAGACTCTGAGCGTATCGATAACATATAAATGATAGGAACAATTTATCATAAATTTTAAACGTTTTTAGTGTGGTTTAATAAATTTATTAATGATTACTGAAGTTTTTGGTATTTATTGGTATAAATTAATACACTTCATATAAAAGTATAAAACGAATAAGTAAAAACAATTGTTGTAAATAAAACTAACAAGTATTCCCAATTTCAAAATTGAATTGGAATTTTAATTCTTTCTTACATGTTCAAACAATTAATAAATCATTCTCTAAAATTCAATTGTATAATAAAACAACCATCCTCTAATCTTTAATCATTATAAATATATAATGAATAAGAATTACAAAACTAACAAAGTAATACACTAAAAAATACCCCCTCCGTCTCCCTATAATTGTCTTAGTTTTCCATTTTTGGATGTCCCCCTATTTGTCCCATACCATATTTGGTAACATTTGTGTGCCTCTAATTCATTCTTACAAAGATCCGCCCATGAAATAAAGTCATCTTCAAGTATTGCTTGTGCAACAAGTAAAAGGGAAAACTGTCAAATAAGTCCTTGTACTTTAATGAAAAAGTCAATTAAGTCCTCATACTTCAAATTGAATCAATTAAGTCCCCGAAGTATTAAAATATAACCAATTAAGCTATTTCATAAGCACCAGCCGGTAACCCGGTTACTGCTGCTTATGTGGATGTCCACTGGTCTTTTTTTTTACTGTTTGCTACTATTTTTAATTTTTCTTTTCTTCTTTCCTTTTCTCTTTCTTCTTTCTTTCTCCCTAAACTGCTCGACTCTTTTCATGAGGCCTCAGTAATGGCAGCCAACAAAGTGCAGCAGATTCTCGTAAATCCTATCCGGTCGGCAACTTGGGAGAAAAGGTTAGCAAAGCTCTTGTCGTCGAGTACGCAGAATTAAAATCTGAGACAGAGAAACCTAAGGCGCTCCTCCGACAATCTGAACGGCCGACGTGGGGAATCAACGACGGCACAGGCAAGATTCTAGACAAGGGTTAAAGAGAAGAAACTTACCATCTAAAGTTCTTGATGATTCCAAAATGGAGCAATTTAATCCATCTTGTGACAATTTAACTTCGCAGAGATCTATTGGAAAGGTGATCAAAATCTTTGGAGGGATGTGTTTGTTAGGGCCAGTTACCAAGGAAACTGCCAAGTGCCAATGCTCTTCATGGAAAGTGGAAAGTCAAAATAAATGGGTGTGGAGTGCGGACCTGCAGGGAGAGAAGTCCGACTCCATGGGAGAAAGAAGAAACGGAGAAAAAGAAAGAAAGAAAGAGAAAAAAAGGGAAAAAAAAGTTATGGAAAATATAAAAACAGTACAATCGGCCAGCCACATAGGTGGCCAAGGTGGGTAACCGGATTACCGCCTAGCCACCTACAGAATAGCTTATGAAATAATGGCATGAGTATTAGTTCTAGAGTTATCAAAGACAAAACTATGACCTGAATCTCGTTTAGACAGAATTGTAACTGAAAATATATGAACAGACTTTAATACCCCTTTCAGCCCTAAATTCATTTCCGACTTTTCTCTCCTCAAACATGGCAGCGCATTCTTCTTCGATCGGCCACAGCAATCCGCACGCCATCACCTTCTCCAAATCGCCGCCATATTCACGCCTTCTCTCCACGCCGTCACTCCACGCCGTACGAACATCACAGGTATGTGACTATTCTATTTTCTTCTCTTCTTCGACAAATCTCCACACCTGCGATGGCGGCGGCCTGGCGATGGTGGAAAATCTGAAGATGGCGAGCGTGAATTCATCATCTATTACGAAGGCATGTGACAAGGGCGACTATGAATGGATATCGTCAATTACCGGCAACATCGAAGTTAGGGTTCGCATCTGGTGGTTTGGACGCGATTGGAGACGACCATTCTATCTCGTCGCTCTGCCGCCGCCGTTCTAGGGGTGGTGCAGAGCAGGGGTGGAGACAGGGAGGGGCTGGAGGGGGCCTCGGCCCCTGCAATAAAAAAAATTCTTAAGTATATATTATGTATAAATACTTTTAATCTATACAAAACATGTTGATATTTTAAACTTTGGCCCCAACAATGTAAAATTTTTAAGAACCGGCCCCCTTAAACATATATTTCTAGCTCCGCCACTGGTGCAGAGGTCTGCGTGGGCTTCGACGGGGTGTGTGGGTGGATCTGCGGTGGTTCAGGGGCTGAATCCGCTGGGTAGGGATGGGGTGAGGGGGTGGGGCAGTGACTATGTAAGAGATGGGGCTGGAGAGTTGGGGGAGAGGTTGGGCAGGGGCGGTGGAGGACGGCAGCGGTGGCCGGAGGTAGCAGGAGCCGGTGGTGGAAGTGGGGCTGGGGTAACTGGGAGAGATGTTGCGGTTGAGGTTGGTGTTGGCCAGAGAGAGGATGGCGGTGGTAGGCAGTGGCGGTTTCCGGTGGTGGTTGTGGCGGGTGTAACTGTGACGGCTAGTAGAGGCCGGCGGTGGTGGATAACTGTAGTTTCCGGTGGTAAAACTGGATAAATGTCGTAAAGTAATCGTGATTGTAGTCACTATGGTCACCGTAGAGATGTCACTGTGGCGGCGGTGGTGGCGGCGGTGGTGGCGGCGGTGACCGGTGATCACTTTGGGAGTGTCACTATAGCGGTGTCACTGTAGAGATGTCACTGTGGCGGCAGTAGCGTCGGCAGCGGTGACCGGTGGTCACTTTGGAGGTGTCACTATAGCGCGTGTCACTGTAGTGGTGGCGGCGGCAGCGGTGAACGGTGGTCACTTTGGGGGTGTCACCATAATGAGTGTCACTGCAGTTGGCATTGTAACTATAAAATAAAGTCACTTCAAATTAAGGGTAATATAGTAACTTTAAAACTGACTAGTCACATTTTTGAAAATTAAACAAAAAGGTCACTTTTTTGTCATTTGTCCACTTTTTAGTAATATTGAGGTCAAAACCCCATAGCTTATTTGATCAATTCTTAACACTTGAGGGACTTAATTGATTCAATTTAAAGTACGAGGACTTAATCGACTTTTTCGTAAAAGTACAAGGACCTATTTGACAGTTTTCCCCAAGTAAAATCATTACTTTGCAATTATGAGTTTATTGAAATCATATTAACAAAATCATATACTTCCCCCGTTCTTTTTTAGTTGCAATATTTACATATTCACGTTTTCCATTGCACAACTTTGACTATTATTATATTTAATTTTGTATTTGTAAAAATAATAAAAAATCAGATTATGAAACTTAGTAATGAGGCGAATTCAACAATTTTTTTCAAAAAAAAAAATAATTCACACATAATAGTAAATAAAATGTAGTCAAAGTAGAGTACATGAATAGTACTACCTCCATTCCTAAAAATTCTTCCCGGTTTGACTTGGCACACTTATTAAGAAAGTGGAATAAAGTGGAAATGTGTGGTTGTGATTGTGTAAGAAAAAGGTAAAATGAATGTGAGCCACATAAATTGTCCAAAAAGGGAAAGTGGGAATAATTTTTGGGAACGGCCCAAAAAGGGAAGTGAGAAGTATTTTTGGGAACGGAGGGAGTATATAAATTCTAATGTTGCAACTAATGTGATACGGAGGATAGTAGAAGACTATAAAGTAATATTATTACTTTGCAATGTTAACCTCAAATAAGATATCACCATATTAAAGGTTAACATTCATCAATAAATAAACAACACGTAGTACCTCGAACAAAATCCCACATTGTCACACTGAAACAATTAAAACTCATCACGGCCCATCACCCATGCATATGGGTAGTAAAAATATGAGCATCAGACTAAAAAACCCAAAACCAGTTTTTATGTGTTTACTAGAAGTTAGACACATAATACAAGAACCAAAACATTATCATCAGTTAAAAGTTAAGCGGTTAAGCCATTCCCACATAACCTAATATACAGTATACACACATTAGGTTCATCAAAGATAAGAGTGATGATTGAGAGAGAAGAAAAACCTGATGATAGCTTTTTAAATAACAGTCATCCGCACATGGTTTGAACTTTCCTTCCCACGCATTCCACACATTTGTGACAGCTTCTTTGTTTCCCACACTTCCCAAGCCTTCTTCAACTTCAGTGTTTTCATCAGTTGAGAACATGACTGGTAGCAACTGATTCTATATAAAATATTTCACTCACAATGGGTGAGTTTAAGATTAGAAAAATGGCAATGATATCAAATTCAACAAGGTAGCCAAAAGGTATTTAAAGAGATCCATAACCAAAAGCTTCATGTGTTATGATCAACCATCAGGATCTACTTTTATGAAAGCCAACATGTTCACTTTAAAAAAACAAGAAAACAAAACATTAACCAAGTGCCGCAAGGCTCCACCTATTATGATGCAATAATCCGATATGTGTATGCAATTGATTCCCACACGGTAGAAAATAAAGAGAGTGATCATTCTCAGGGGTCTCTTAAGTTCTACAGATTCAGCGATGCTTGCTCGCACTAGCTACAATACATAGCATGAAGATTAAAATCGCAATAAAGCAGGGGCAGATCCAAAAATGAGGTGTGAGGTGGGCTAAATAGTAAAAATTTTGTTAGTGCACACGAAAGGTTTACCTTAGCATTGTTATCAACCTGAGCCTTTTTCGAACTACTTGAGTTCAAGCGTGATTTCAAATGTAAATTAACGACCCGAGCTTAACCAGCCTCAAACTCGACCATGGGCTAGATTTTGAATAATTACTCAAGCCGAGTTCAAGCATAAAGATGTCCGGTGTGATTCGGACTCGAGCGTACCAATAACATATAAATGTTAGGAATAATTTATCTTAAATTTTAAACATTTTTAGTGTGGTTTAATGAATTTAAGGAAAAAGAGTGAGATAGCCCCTCGAACTTACTTAAAAAGGTCAAATAAGCTCTTATATAGGAGGCTCTTATTTGGGGCGGTTTCTGATGGAATTTTTTGATGAATTTTTTTGAGCATCTTATTCATTACGTCGAGTTTACTCATACCAAATTTCAGCTAAAACTTCAATCGGAAAGGCATTCAAATGAATTCTTGAAGATAAATGCACAGTTAAAAGCGCAGTTATCTTCAAAAAATCATTTGAATGCCTTTCCGATTGAATTGTTAGCTGAAATTTGATATGAGTAAACTAGAATTAATGAATAAGATGCTCAAAAAATTTCATCAAACAATTCCACCGGGATCTGCCCAAAATGGCGACGGCTGAACATAGCCTCCTATATAAGGGCTTATTTGACCTTTTTATGTAAGTTTGAGGGTCTATTTGACCATTTTCCCTAAATTCATTAATGGTTATTGAAGTTTTTATTGTTTATTGGTATAAATTAATACACTTCATATAAAAGTCATAAAAATATAAGTGAAAACGATCGTTGTAAATAAAACAAATAAGTATTCCCAATTTCACATGGATTTTTAATTCTTTCTCACATGTTCAAAACTTCAAACAATAAAGAAATCACGCTCTAATCTCAATTGTATAATGAAAAAAAACATCCTCTTATCGTTAACTCTATCTTTAATCATTACTCCGTATAAATTTATAATGAATAGACACTATTTTATTGAGTAATGCTCTCCTCCGAACTGTCGGACACAAAACTCGTCCGGACTTTTAAAATGTGGCCGTTGGATCAATTACACGGTCAAGATTTATTTTTTATAAATAAAAAACATACTACTGCAATTGGCAGGCAACTTTTCTATCCTCTATTTCTCTGTCATTTCTTTCTTACGCAGCTCATCCCCAAAACATAACAGATTCAGAGACCAAAAAAGCACATATTTTTCTTTTCGTCATTAAGAAGCTTGATTCAATATGCGCAGTCTCTATTTCTTTTCCGGTGGCTTTATTCTACACACAAATCTAAAAAAAATATCATAATATGAGTAATACAACCCTAGGGTTTTTGTTTTTCTTTTCAAATTTCAATTTTAATCTAGAACTTTGTTCATGGTGTAAACCGAAAAAATAAAAGGTAAGCATTTTTTAAGACCAAAAAAATAAAAGGTTTAACCTATTTGCCTCTTTCTTTTTTTCTCCTATGCTCAGTTACAAAATTGGTTTAAGATTATCAACAAGCTTCCATGGAATTTGAAGCTAAACCTCATAAGTCGAAGTTTGCTAGGTATCAAAGTTCTCACTTTTTCGATTGTTAGAGAGATAAATTAGATATAGATGTTTTATTACTTCCTCCATTTCTAAAGAGGGCGGCACCAATTCTTGAGCTTTCCGGTGTTATGTGGAGATCTGGATGAAAACAGAGTGAGGTAGGAAAGGAAGCTCAGTGGTCATTTTTCATGATTCGTAGAGGGGAAGGGGTTGGGGAAAGTGAAGAAACTAAGCTATATTTTTTTTACTTTTAGATCTGGTCCATTTATTGATCCGAATCATCTACATGCGGTCATCTCATCATTTTTGAAAAGAGGAAAGGGTCAGTTTAGTCCTCGAAATTGCAAAAAAGGCGTCAAATAAGTCCTTATATAGAAGATTCTGTCCGGACGTGCCAATTGAGGTGGCTCCCGGTGGAATTTTGTGATAAATTTTTTTGAGCATCTTATTCATTAAGTCTAGTTTACTCATACCAAATTTCAGCTAAAAATTCAATCGGGAAGACATTCAAATGAATTCTTGAAGATAACAGCGCCTTTAACGGCACAGTTATCTTCAAGAATTCATTTGAATGTCTTCCCGATTGAATTTTTATCTGAAATTTGGTATGAGTAAACTAGACTTAATGAATAAGATGCTCAAAAAATTTCATCAAAAAATTCCACCGGGAGCCACCTCAAATGGCACGTCCGGACAGAATTTCCTATATAAGGACTTATTTGACCCCTTTTTTGCAACTTCGAGGACCAAACTGACCCTTATCCCTTTTTGAAAAGGATCGGACGAGTTTTGTGTCCGGCAGTTTGGAGGAGAGCATTACTCCTATTTTATTATCTACTGGAAAGTTCAATTTATAATCAAATACAATTACAAAACTAAAAATGTAATACAATAAATAATAGATTAAAAGAGTATTAAAGTATACATGAAGGCCTGATAAACACATAAAAGCTAAAAGTTGAAAGCAAGTGGAAGAGTGTTTTAAATTGTTTTGAAAGAATGACTAAAAGAAGACTCTCAAGTCCCGTGCTGCAAAAAATGTGAGCGGATGGGATTTTAGACAAAAGAAGTGATTGAAAGAAGGGTAAAAGGTCACAAATAACCCTGCTCCCAGCCCTAAATTTAATATCCTCTACTTCCCCATTTCACATCCGATGAATACGAATAAGGCGGCCAGATTTAGTTATGAAGATGGCGACCAAACCTCGTTCCAGCCAACCCTCATCTTCACCGGCATCAACTCTTCGATCAACGGCGGCTGCAATGAAGAGAGACGGAGGCAACGGCTAAACCTGCCACCGGACTTCCTCTCCTTCTCTTCCTTTCTTTTTGTCCAGAAACCGAGCCGCCGTTGCTCGCTCCATTATCGTTTCCCCCTGCGGCGGCGACGAGCTTCGTAGATCCAACGAGGAACTTCTAATCCGGCGGCGAGATCTATTGATCCGGCTACATGGTTCGTCAGATTTGGGAGCCACTGACGACTTTGGTAGCCACGGCAGATCTGGAACTCTGGTTTCGTGGGGCTGGTTATGCTAGGGAGGGGAAAAGGGTAGTGGCGGGGCAGTTGTAATCACAGCGGTCGGTGGCCAGGGAGTCTGGCAAAAGTCACTGCCATTGTTGCCAGCAGCAGCGGCGGTCACTATCACTGTAACTGGCCGCAGGCAATGGCCGCCTGAGGTGGTCACCGTAACCGACCACGGGAGGTGGTCACTGTAACTGGCTGCAAGAGATGGTCAATGTAACTGGCCGCCGGAGGTGGTCAAGGTGGTGGTGTAAATGGCCGCCAGAGTTGGTCACCGGCCATCAAGTCAAGGAAGGTTTGTTGTTTAATGAAAGGGTAATAAAGACATGTTAATCACGTTTCTGGAAAATTTTAAACCTAGTCTCATTTTTTTCCTTGACTTTTCATTTAGTATTGTTTTTGCCAAAATGCCAATTGTTTTTTACTTTTTCTATTATACAAAGAGCACTTATTTTCCAAGCATTACCAATTTTTACTCTTTTAGAAGCATTTTTTCCTTAGACATTGCCAACTTTTACTATTAAGCATTTTCTCCAAAATTACTTTACAAAATCACTTTTTTAAAAGTAGACCCAATCAGAAACACTACCTAATTTGGGAGCATACGAGTATCTTAGTAGCCTACTAGGCTTGGGCTGGATTGGACATTAATTTTGGGGTGGGCTAGACATTAATTTTGGAATGGACTAGCCATTAAACCTATACCTATACTAATAATAATAAATGGGCAAGGCTGGAGCCCACCCCAACCTCTACATAGATCCGCCCATGCAATAAAGTCGTCTTCATCATCATTACCCCAGTGCCGCAAAGGCTCCCACCTACGGTGGGGTAAGGGGGCCGAATGTACGCAGTCTTGCCCCTTTAATAAAGGGGAAGGAGACTGTTTCTGAATGATCTATGGTGAAAATCGCGATTGTTGCTTTATAACAAGAAAGGCAGATAGTTTGGTGAGCCATTTTTCTTTATTCCGTCATATTCCCAAGCCAAAAAAGCAATAAAGTGAACAAACTATATGAATAATCAAAAATGTCTTTGCACATCCTTCATTCGTAATGTTTTCAAGCTTATCTAAAATAATAGGGATGAAAGATATGAACCATAGGTCTCAAAATATCAAACCAGACATTGGCAACTAAATTCTAGACGTGTTTGAGAAAAAGCTTATATCACAATATGATTTAAACTGGTTATTGGTCTAAGCATGGAGCAGAAGATCAAACCTTCTTCAGATGAGCCTTCTGCAACTTTGATCCATCATCAAGTGGTTTCCCTACTAGTTGTTTCTCAGAACCAGTATACAAGAATGGATTGCCACAGGATAAGCGACCTATAGGTTCCGATGTTTCAATGAAACTTTCACCGCTCAGATTCCACTCCTGCATTTGGAAACAGCTAGATCAAGGCTTTGTGTACTAAAACAACATTGCAACTAGAAGTGGTCAGAAATAAGCACGCCAATAACTCCAAAATCACTTCCATGGACGAATGAACACAAAAAACGGTCAGCATTAAGCAGTTGATTGCATAGCAACAGGATAGAAGCATAACAAATACCAACAAAGCGTGCATCGAAATAAAAGTTTGAGGACGCGGAAATCACGATTATGTCATAGCAACAAAGCACATTAATTTAGCCCTAAAACCTGCCAACAATGAAGGACTAAATTGAAACATCACGCCCTCTTTTCCCGTTTGAATCACGTACCGTACGTCGATCCAGATCCCGCAGCCCAACAGCACCTTCATCTTCCATATCCACTTGGCGAGGTATTTCCAAACTCAACCTGGCGATGCAATCCTTCTGTAGGAAAAATAAAACATAAACGTAGCCACGTAGGTAGGGTCATCCTTTTATCAATATAGATAGTATATATCCAGTCCGTATACCGTGGGAGCGGCCCATCTTCAGCATCCTACACCCGCGACCTAAACGACGTAGTATTACATTAAAATACATTTAATTTAAAAAATAAAGCGCACGCGAAAAAACGGATCGTTTCCCAACCAACTTTTTCCTCCGGCTGCTTATGCTCTCAACTCCCAATGTTGACATATACTTCTCTTCGAAAACCATAACATTTCCAGAAGTTTACTTTCTGAAAAATCTCTCTCTCTGCATTTCTTCTGAAGCAAGTTCAACTATTCGACGAAGTTATTTTTGAAAAAAGAAATAAACAGCATCAACTTGCACATCAAGTTCAGCAACAAGTGAATCAAAATGGTTAGGGTTAAGGAAAAATCCGATGTCAGGTATAAACGATAACATCGACTCAAATAATAATCGATGCGATTACCTTTTTCTAATGAAAATATGTGTCTTATGAACTCAATGTGTTATTTACGTCTAAATACAAGCAAAGTAATATTTGTTTAATAATGTGCATCTGGCTGTGTTTAAACTGTCAAAATACCTGATGTTTACTTAAATTATCAAGTATATAAACTCTATAAGGTATTACTTGAATGCAAATGTTGTCCAGAGAACATTTTTCAAAGTGCTTGTGCATGGTGTAACTTCATTGAGTACTTGTGTAAATTCTGTATGATAATATATAACATGCATGGAGTACAAAATTCATATTCCACTTCTGTAAGCATTATGTATATTCATATTTGAAGTATGCACACTCTGTCAATTACTATGTCCCTGCAAGTATTGTAGCCATAATTGATTATTGAACATCTTGTGTAACATGTAAAGTAAAGATAGTATTTATGTAACATAAGTATATTGATATGTAACTTTTGTAATTGTTTGGTTACATGTAACTTTGGGATATAAATTATGAAATTCTGTATAAAATCATGTAACTTATCTAAATTGGTAATTATAAAATTAAATTTGTCAATGTAATTATAAACAATGTAAATATTTTGTTATAAAATATGATAGCCAATATGTAAAACTTAAGCTTTAGTATGTAACTTGGCATTTGCTCATGTGTAAGATGTAACAACTTTTTTGAGGAGTTGGGTAATTAAGTTTTAAAATATAGCACTGAATCACATCAAAGGGCATAACATGTAACTTTGAGCTATAAATTATGTAACTAGTGTATAATATTATGTAAATCGTGCTATGGGTTATATAAATTCATAATGATACATTAAAGTGATAATGACTTGTGAATGTTATTCTGTATACTTTTAGGAGTACAAGAAGCACAAGAAGCACGGCAAGGCCAGAGAATGATAGTTTTAAAGTGGAAGATGAGGAACCAATTCAGACTGAAGAACCATTGCAATTGTTGACTTACAACAAGCCAAAAACAAGCAGAAAAAGAAAAAAAGATATAGTAGCGGAGGAAGAATCAGAAAAGCATGCTGAAGAAATAGATGGAAACACTGCCGTCAACTTAAGGACCAGAGTAGGACCAGCTCCATTTATCAAGTTGGTTAAACTCTTGAATGACAACCAAAGAGCAGCAATTGAAGATATTGGCTTTGGAGGCTTGCTCAAACTAAGCTTTGACAGATTTCATGGAGACTTTGTAGAATTTCTATTGAAAAGCTTAAGACCAATATCAGCACAGCTACAACTCACAAATGGTGAGTTGTTGGATATTGAAGATCAAGATGTTAGAGCTGTTTTTGGTTTGCCAATGGGAAAGATTGATGTTGAAGAAGCAAATGGCAAAAACGAAAGTGAAGAGTACATTCAATTGCTGAAGCAGTGGAGAGAGGATTGGGGAATAGAAAAGGGAAGCCCGGACACCACAAGGATGATACAAAAAATCATTGATCGTGCTGATTCTGGAGATGATTTCAAGAGAAATTTTGTTGTCTTCACAGTTTCATGCCTCATCAGGGGTAATCAGAGTATAAGGAGCAACTTCAAGATCTTGCTGTCTTTGATAAAAGTTGATGAAATCAAGAATTTGAACTGGTGCAAGTATACAAGGCGATCACTAATGGATGCAGGGGAAGAATGGCAAGCTAATACATCAAGGATGTTCACTGGACCCTTGTTGTTTTTGATGATATGCTACTTTGATAGAGTGCAATTCAAAGGTCAAGCTATGGATACTGTTTATCCAACAATTAGATTCTGGAACAAGGAAAGAATTGATAAGAGAATCAAAGATGAAAGGAAACTCGGGTTCGGGCTCGGAAAGGTGGTGCCACGAATTATGGCAATTGATGAAGAAAAAAAGAAACAGAAGGAAATGAAGAAGCAAATGAAGATCAAAATGAAGAGGAAGAGATCATCTCCAAAGAGGTAGATTTTAAATAAACACTATATGTAGATTACTTGCTTTACAGATGTAACTGTCGTAACACAATATGTAACCTCTGCAAATGTCAAATATAAACATTGAAGTTGTTGCTTATATTTTATATCTAATGGCATATGAAACTTACAAATGAATTTCAATTTTTGTAGGACTGTGTCAAGGAAATCATTGCAGTTGCACAAAAGTTTAGTGATGCTTTTGTGGAATTCTCAAAACTGCCAGCAACAATTTCAAAAAAATTTCCTAATTCTGATATCTTAAAGAAGATATACTTGACAACAGCTGACTACTTTTTCAGACAAGCTGATGGTAGTGCGCAGGAAGAACCGAAAGAGAGGTTGGCTGAGAAGTGCACTCTTGATGAGGATGACGATTTCTTCAATATACCAGGGGTAATGGAAGCCCTGGATAAACTTGAAAAAGCTGCTTATCTGAAATTCTCAATGCCTTCATTTGATTTGGGCATTGAGTTTAGCATGACACAGCCTTCACAAAATGAAAAAACAACAAATGAGAATCCAGGTGCTCAAATGACTGAAGACCCAATAATGGAGATTGCAAGAAGCATAGAAGAAGAGAACAACAAAGAAGACATGATTGAGATAGCTGAAGGAGGAATGATGGAAGGAGAAAGGGAAAGTCAAGATAATGTTGTGACTGAAGAAGAAGCAATTGATACAACTCCAACTCAGAATGTTCTGACTGAAGAGCTGGAGATAGAAGAAGAAAAAGAAATCAAGATCACAGCACCTGTGGCAAAAAAACAGAAGGTCAAAAAGGCAGCTGACACGGAATGGAAATTCAGGTCACCATTTCTAAAACACAACCACAGGTTGTGCAAGGAGATGAGGAAGGAAGAGAAAATAGTGATTGATTATGGATTTTCAAAGGAAGCTGGAAAGTAAGATATTCTTTATTATATATGTCATTATTTCACTAAATAATTTATACTTTGAATCTTACTAAATTTGAGGTTTTTGGTTGCCTGTTTAATGAAAATAACAATGATGTAAACCATGTTACAATAAAATGTAACTAGTTCTACACAAAATGTAACTTGATATACTCAAATGTAAAACTATAATTTATCAATCAATTGTTTACTAACATGTGTTATGGTGTTAGTGAAATGCTGTATCTTGATGAGTGGGGACTTTTTCTGAACCACGAGGAGTTCCAAACACTAGAAGAAGAACAACATCTTGACAACTCAGTTATAGACGCATGGGTAAAGTTACTCAATGACAGAGAACCAAAGAACAATCCTCCACATCGTGCCCTAATACTTTCTAGCATGGTCTATGTATGTATCATATTATTTATACATTCAATAAATAGAAAAACATTGATTATTCTGATTAATTTCAATGGTTGATAATAAACAGGCACAGTTTGGAGTGAAATATCCAGACAAAGAAGAAAGGATGGTAGAGAGAATGGAATTAGAAGTTGCTGAAAGGGGAAATCTCAAAGATTATGATATGGTAAAATGTTATTATTACTGAAAAGAGTTAAACAAAATGATTCACCATGAAACAATTAACTAATGAATGTTTGTTATGACTTGCAGGTCTTGATTCCTGTACACCAAAGTCATCACTACTATATCTATTGCTTCTACACAAAGAAGAATATAGTAGATGTCATTGACAATAGGAAGCTTGAGAAAGGGGTGGAGTTTAATAATAAGTATGAGGAAAGCTTTAACCAACTGGTAAACTTATATTCATGTATTCCACAAGTACTGCTAATGTAAATGTATCAGGCTGCTAATGTATAGGCTGAAAATAGGTGGCAGGATTTAAGAAGTATTGCAACAAGGTGAACCATCCAGCTGGAAAAATAGACAAATGGAACCCTAGAATCTTGAATATGCCATGGAGGTACAATGGGAATTATGTTGATTGTGGCATTTTTGTAATGCGTCACCTTGAAACCTATCGCGGACAAGGAGACAACTGGGATGCAGGATTTCCAACTGCATCTAAACCAGCAGGAGTAAAAGCTCAGAAACAAATTCTGAAGAAGCTACGACTTGTCTATGCAGCAGAAGTCATAAGCTCAAAATTCAACAGAGAAAGGGAGAATGTTTTTAAAAGAGCAAAAGAATTCATGAATGTGTAAAGTATTCTGGTTTTTGTGAAAAGTACATTTGTTTTGAAAGTGGAAGTTGTCTCCAACATTATTTCATATTATGGGTGTCTTTTAAAATTGGGCAAGGGCAGAACATTTATTTCTAAGAGATATGTAGTTCTCTCAACATTTCATGATTTCAGGTCTGTTATTATTGTAGTACATTATGCAAGTATCATGTATGAAAACTGATCAATTTGGCTTATTATAATTTTGCATGCATGATATATATATATATATATATATATATATATATATATATATATATATATATGTTATGAAGTTCTTAATTTCTGTGTCTCAGTATGCTACTAAAAATTACTTTATAGATTCTGGAGTGCTTTATTCAACTGCTTTTGCACGATGTAACTTCAGTTATACCTTATGTAAAAAACGTATAAGAAAAATGTAAGTCGAGTGGGGACTTATGTAAACTATCAAAGATAGCACTGAATAACGAACAACAAAGTAGTAATTGTTAGTGTATTTATAAAATTAAACTTCTTTTTACTTGAGATGTAACCTTGTTTTATTTGAGATGTACTTGCTATTGAATTTAGATGTAATTTTTTTATTTGACAAGTACTTGCTGTTAACTTGAGATTACTGTAAGCATGATAGGAAACAAAGGATAACAAAATGTCACCAACCAGTAAACGAAATGTAAATCTGATTAAAATGAAATGTAACTCCTCCAGTAATGTGCTAATAAATTTGACTGTAAGCATGATAGGAAACAAAGGATAACAAAATGTCACCAACCAGTAAACGAAATGTAAATCTTATTAAAATGAAATGTAACTTCTAAAGTAATGTGCTAATAAATTTGACTGTAAGCATGATAGGAAACAAAGGATAACATAATGTCACCAACCAGTAAACGAAATGTAAATCTGATTAAAATGAAATGTAACTCATCCAGTAATGTGCTAATAAATTTGACTGTAAGCATGATAGGAAACAAAGGATAACAAAATGTCAACAACCACTAAACGAAATGTAAATCTCATTAAAATGAAATGTAACTCCTCTAGTAATGTCTCCAACATTAACATTAAAACAAAAAGAAAGGTATAACATGTCTCTGAAAAAGTATCTACTATAAAAAACAAAAATTAAAATAAAACTAATTCTGCATTTGGTTCACAGCATTAGATTGCATGAAGTATGGAGCCAAAACTTGTGGAGATCCAAACACACTCATCAAAGTCGTGATTCCTCCAACCGGATGAACAAGATAACCTTGTGGAACCATAGAACTGACAGTGTCCTAGAATTAAAACAAAACAAATAGTAATGATCAGAAAACGTGAATTAAAGAAGAAACAAATATACAAATAAGTAAATACCTGAACAACAGATTGTGCAACTTCTTTTGAATTACTGGCAACATTTTGAGATTTAGAACGTCGAGCTTTGACTATTTTGCATTGTTTTTCAACAATGCTTCTTTTTCTTTTATTTCGCTCACCTTTAGGACGAGATCGTGGAGGATCAAGTATTGTCTTTGGAGCAGAACCAAATTCATCACCACAAGAAACACTTTTTTGAATATCTAAAGAGTGTTTGATCGATTTATACCCTTCCTCACATACTTGCCTAGCTTCAGGTAGACCAGCACTTGCAGCTAATATAGCATTGAACTTCCTGGTCATTTGCACTCTCCAAACAGAATCTTCAACTACTTTCCCACACATAAGATATGTTCCTTGAGTAAAAGGAGGACTAACATTTTGCAAAATAGCAGCCTTTGTCCATCTAGACAGTATATAAACTTCAGGAATATATTTCACACAATGGACATTATATATACGCAATATGTGTCTACACAAAATGCCAACTTCTGAAAACAGCTTACAAGTGCAAGTCACTGTGTTGTCATTTCCATTAAAAGCAACGTTGTGCCTAATCAAATCTACACCGTCCAACCAAACATGATACACATAATCATGACAATTCTGTGTGTTTAATTTAAAAAAGTGTGACATGCCCTTCAAGTATTGTTCCTGGAACAGTTTGAATATCTCAACAGTGTATACATCTCTAGCATGAGACAACATACTATCTTGTAGCAATACCATCTCAACGGTGCCTTCTGAACATATGAAATCTTCACCATTTTCTTCTGACCTCCACTCATCGACAACATCACCAAACATCTTGTAAAAGTCACACAAAGTTGCAGTTTTTGACAGTCTTCTGGATATGGATCTATTGGTAGATTCACTTCTTTGGGAAGATAGAATGCCGCCAGAGAAATAATCCTTTGAAAATGCAGGACACCACTTTTCTTTATGACTGTAGAGCCTTTTTAACCATTTATTATCACTGCATTCATACAATCTGTTCAACCTGAAACGAATTTAAAAACCAATACAAAGTTACATATACAACCAACACGGGTTACACTAACGCAATAAACAAGTTACACGAAATCAATAAGAGGTTACACCGCAATACAAATAACTTACTCAATCCAGTAGAAATCAAACTCTGCAACTGTGTCACATCGTTTCACAACATAATCAAATAGAGGAACAAAATTTATCTTCTTGCGTAGAAACATGATGTGTTTCTTTGAATTCTCATCTATATGCCAAGTGCATAGTCGATGTCTTGACTCAGGGAAAACTGATTTTATAGCTGCTGCCATGGAAAATGATTGATCTGTCATAAATGTGATGGGCTGTTTACTGCCCATAGATTTCAGAAAAGTCTGAAATAACCAAACAAATGACTCAACCTTTTCATTCAACATAAAGCCACAACCAAACATAATATTCTTACAATGATGATTCATACCAACAAACGGACCACAAATCATGTCGTATTTGTTAGTCCTGTAAGTTGTATCATGCACAACTAAATCACCAAACCTTTCATAATCTAATCTCATTTGCCCATCTCTCCAGAAAAAACAACTCAGGACACCTTCATCTACCTCAAAATCAAAGTAAAAATCAGATTCCACTTCAGCCCTTTTCTTCAATATAGAAATCAAAGTGTTAGAATCACTACCATCAAACGTTTTACTCCTTTCAGATTCTAGAACGTTATAAGCATCACGTTTGGTGAAACCAAGCGCACTAAGACCACCCGCCTGTTTTTGAAGCATACGATGAATATCAGAAACTTTTGTCCCACTCTCCTTCATCAACATAATAAATTCAAGATACTCATGATCAACACCACGATGTGATTTCAGAAGGTGTCTTTGACCAATTGGACAAAAAGAATGGTTGTGATCAATAATATGCTTGGAAACAGTCCATTCACCTTCAATACTAATAGAAAACTGCAGCTTTGCTTTACAACCTGAACGATAATCTAATTTCGTATACATTTTGTTTTCAGTTCCCTTTTGTAGTTTCTTCCCCTCTTTCCAACAACAATAAGACTTCATAATCAAACTTACATTGCCACTCCTAAACCTTTGTTTGTATCTTCGAATACCAAAGCCATTTTCAAAAGCATGACTGTTGTAAAGATTATAAGCATCCCGTTCAGATTTAACAGTGACTCCAACAAGTGATTTACACTCAGTTGCCTTGTCAACAGTTGCCAATGTATCTGACAAATAACAAAGGGGGTATATGAAAAAACCACTTTAAAAAAGATACATAAAATTAAATTCAAGTTACATACTATTGAGCATAAGTTTCATACACTTGGTCTAATGTTACATACATCAACATATAGAGTTACATAAAAAGTGAACTGAAGTCACATAAAAAAAATTGCATAGGATTGAATGAAACTTAAAATATATTTAACATATGTTACATGGACCTAACCTGAAGAAACATAAAACCAAAATAGAAGTAACATAATGATAAAGTGTACTTACATATGATTTACAGCAAATTTCACATAATAGGAATAAAGTTACACAAATGTCACACAAAGTTACATAAGATGTAGCGCATGTTACATACACTAGAAAAGAAGTTCCATATATTTCAATAGAATTTATATAGTATTGAATATTAATTGTATACATATAAACCAGAGTTAATAACTAAATTCCATAAAACCAAACAAAAATTACATACAAATGACCTAAACTTACATAATATTGGGTTAAAAAAAATTAAAACAAAAATTCAATCACAAGACAGGAAAAGTACCTTTACTGAGAAGATGCAACAATTTGAAAGCCCTTGAAACAGTTTCTTCTTCACCTGAAAGGAAAAAACAAACCCCAACAAATATCAATGAAAAACAATCCAAATTCTCACACAATAATATAAAACAGAGAACGAAAGACATTATTGCATAATAAAAGCATAAATAAGAGAAATTAAATTTACTAAACTAAAAACTGTAATGTTTACCAATAATTTCGACATTAACAGGCTGATCACATTCCAAATTATTGTCACCAGATGAATGAATCACGTTGTCATGAATACTAACAGGAATAGAATCGTGAAATTCAATCGAAGAATTAGCAACAGACAAATCATCTAGCGAGAAATCCATTGAAGGCAGATCGGAATCCTAAGCGCAATGAACACAACGAAAAACGGAAGAACGAAGTCGGCTGCAACAGAAATTCGAAATACGAGTAAACAATATGGCGTAAGAACCTAATTTTTCTTTTAATGAAAAACGACACCGTTTTGGACTTGGAGCACGATGCTCACCGTGGGATGATCCCACGGTATAATTTGCGGTATATATCGTGCTCCGAACATATATGTGGGCCATGGATAAGGGTAAAGTGTTTTTTTTAACAAAATTCTTAAATTGATATTGCAGCATTCAGATAGGAACAAGAAGACAAAGCATCACTTTCAACCATCGACCCTCGAAACAGTTTTATAACCAATCACCCTTGGACAGAGCAATATAGCTCGCTGATCCTGTAATGGGTCTAATTGAGCCTAACGGTTAGAGTAAACCCGTCATCACCACGACCTAATGCAAGAGTCTGTCTGAAATAAAAATAGTAGAAAACAACAATGATAGCATTCATGCCCAAATAACTCAAAAAGAGTAAAACGGATTTAAATAAAATAAGCTGACATAGCCAAAGAATCCTTTCTTCAAACATCATCCTCGGCGGTGGCTCAGGAGGGGGACGGATCATCAATCCTTCATCCTGAAATCTTCCCTCCAAAATCACCACCACAAATTCTAATTGCATCTCCTTACCCCCTGCGATTGTAGTCTGCACTACCGGAAAAGCGTCTTCCGCGGCTGAGACGCCTTCCTCCATCCGCCTTCCTCTAACAATCACCGGCTGACCACCATATTCTGAGAAACCACGAACCAGGGCCTGCTTCCTTCTCATCGCCCGAGAACTCCTATCCGAAGAAGCAGTGCAGAGGCGGAACCCTTCCCTCGTCGATCGGAGCAGAAACGGCACAGCGAACACTAACCCTAGACAATGATACACTTGTAATTTCCGTGTGTATGTTTATGTTTTTAACTAGTTTTGGTTGTTTAATATTTCGGAAATTACACACTTTTGGTGTAATAGTTTAGTTTGTTAAATTCTTGTAAATTGTCTAGATTAGGTTTATTCTGAGCTCAAACAGGTCTACTATCACTCAAAGGACGGTTGGTGAACCCCAAAAGTGGAAGGAGGGTGCAAAATCACAAGACAAAGGGGAAGATCCTGATTTTTGGTCTATACTCGATCGAGTATCTGTATATACTTGATCGGGTATCTTGTTGAAATTTCAAATCGGATCGGATCCGAAAACAAAGGAACATGCAGGGAAGATTTTGACCACGATCGAGTGTCTATACCCGATCGGGTACACTGACATACTCGATCGGGTATGGCTATAAATTTTACTCTAATTTCGATCGAGTATGGATCGAATTCAAGTTTCTACACATACTCGATCGAGTATCTGTATATACTCGATCGAGTACCCGAGCTGCACTCCCAAAAAACCTATAAATACACCCCCTTTCCTTCACAATAGATTCACCAATTCACATATACTTCTTAGCTCAGTTTAGACAAGTTCTTTCTTTATATTTTTCATCATGTTTAGTCTCCAAATGAGGAGCTAAACTCTTCCATCTTGGTTTTGCTACTTTGAAGCTTAATGATTTGTAAGTTGTGAGTTATTTTCTTGGGAAAAGTACAGAAAACGTACCTGTGGTTTGGGCCATTTTCAGATAGGGGCATGTGTTTCATTTTGTAACAAAGTGGGGCATGTATTTCAATTTCGTTATCATAGCAGGGGCATGGCGTCTAACGCCGTTAGAAAAATTAACCCCCGATTTTAAAAAGTCTCCGAAAAATTAAAAGAAAAATACTGGGAGGTGCGCCTCGTCAAGGAGATAAACAAACTATCTTTATTTTTTGTTTCCAGCCACCATATCTCCAGAAAGTCCATCAGAAATATGATATTAGAGAATTTGTTTTTAAAAAATAATCTCAATAGAGCCGAAAAATCCAAAGAGAAAGATAGTTTGTTGATCTCCTTGACGAGGCGTACCTCCTAGTATTTTTCTTTTAATTTTTTGGAGACTTTTTAAAATCGGAGTTAATTTTTTTAACGGCGTTAGACGCCATGCCCCTGCTATGATAACGGAATTGAAACACATGCCCCACTTTGTAAGAAAATGAAACACATGCCCCTATCTGAAAATGGTCCAAACCACAGGTACGTTTTCTGTACTTTTCCCTATTTTCTTTAATCTTCTTCCTTGAATATTAATTACTTCCTATTCATATCCCATATTAATATATTGAGCATTACTTAAAGTATCAACTAGTTTTGTTCTATATATTAATTATTACTAGAATCAATCGGTTAATACGCTTGTTATTAATTCGGTTCTTTCAATGGTAGTAAACTTGGATTGTTAATGCATGCTTCTCATGGTTAATAAGCCAAGGGGAATTAATTATATTGATTAAACCAAAAAACCGCTTGTGTTGAGGTTATC